CAACTAGTCTCTGTACTAGGTCCTCGTGGATTTCTTTTGCTGATACTTTATGACTGCTCTGGCCTCTGTTTTGTCTATTTTTAGATTTGCAGCACACCTCTCACCTTTGTTTGGGCCCCACTTGCACAGAAATAAAAACATAAATCTGAATTAGTTTTCAGTTTTTCTAGTTTTATAAGAAGTGATAGTGTGTTGCTACAAGGAAAATGCTCACCTATGGCTTTTTTCCTCTGAGTGAGGCTTAGAACATTTTGAACGACCATTGTATATACTAAGCTTAGCTTAGTTAGGCACAAGGTCAACAATATGGGTCACTCAGCGAAGATCGAACTCATTAAAAGAGCAAATTGTTTGCGAAATTAACCTACTAACAACACTACACCGCAAGGCGCTCATTTACTAGATTTAGCTTAGTTTAGTGTACAACACCAAGCGGTTTAGGAAGAGCATTTTGTGTCAGTCCTGTGAGTAAGGAGTGTCTGCTAGCTTTGAAAATTAGTATTCAACATTCTAGCCATTTGCATTATTGAACAACAATTAAAGCCAAAAAGCAAACAAAAGCAACTTCTTCAACTAGTATGAGAGATGTTTTTATTTATTTCGTTCGAAACAAGGAGACTCATTGATCTGTTAGAGCTAGATCAAATGAGAGATAGGCTGCCAGGCACAGGTCCTTTTGATTTTTGGAAGCGCACACATACATTCTGGTATCATTTGCATAGATATTTACTGTTTAAAATAAAATCAGGACGTCTATTTCAAGCGCAGGTATCCATTAAAAAATAACGTTTGAAGTAATATATATATATATATATATATATATATATATATATATCGTAACGGAAAATTCGGTAACGGAAGATTCAGTAACAGAAGTTTCGGTAATTTTAACAAGGTAGGAAAATTCGGTAACTATGAAATAAAAGTCGATTGAAAATTGTCCCCTCTCCTATATTTTTGAATAACTGGAAATCGTGGGGTCCAGAGAAAAACCCCACTAAAACAAATCCAGGGCCGTACTTGCAAAAATGGGGCTCCTTTCCCAATATTATTTTAAAAGTGTTATTAACTATGAGGGTCTAGATAAGACCCCACTACAACAATACCAGGGCCGTACTTTCTGGATGGGATATTTAGGCGGGTAAGCTCTCTCTCCCATATTTTTAAATGAATATTTTTTTAAATATGTATTTATTTAGTTAATATACTATATTGCTTTCAAGCAAATAAAATCGATTTATCTAAGTAAGAGAAAGTTAAATTCTTGTATCTTCTTTTTAAATTATTATTTTAATAAAAAAGTAGTAAATAAATAAAGTTTTAGATAGCTGTTTCTTTTTAAAGAATCAGAAACTATATAGCTTCATTTCTCTTTCAAAAATATAGAGGAGGGGACTTAGTTCCCAAACCCCTATTCTAGAACGGCCCTAAAACCAATTTTTAATCGACTTTTATTTCATAGTTACCGAATTTTCCTACTTTGTCAAAATTTTCCGTTACCGAATTTTCCGGACATCATATATATATATATATATATATATATATATATATATATATATATATATATATATATATATATATATATATATATATATATATATATATATGTTTGCGTGTCCGAAGAGGAAATCATTTTCGCACGACCAAATCATGTTCTTATAACATCTATTTTATATTTGTTTAGACATTCGCTTTTATAATTAATGATTGTTTTTACTAGAATTCTAAGAAATGTTGCTAAGATGCACAGTCATCTAAAAGATGTTTTCTGTTAATTCATCCGAAATGATGTAAAGTTACTTATTGCCAATATTAATTCACCCCAAGAAATTATAAATTTTCGATCAAAGTTTGTTTAGCTTGCCTCACAATAACTCCAACCCCCAGAATGAAAAATTACCAAAAATCAGGGAGTTACAATTTAAAAAATAAATAAAAAAATCTGTTTTTGGCTTGTTTATTGTTGTGAGCGCGAACGTAAATCTCATATTTAGAAATAGCGCACCAAAGTGGCCCAGATTTGGACCGATCGCAAAATTCAACCCAACCGGAGTGAAATAGGGAATTGCTCTGGAAGAATTTGGTATGAATTTTAGTAAATATAAATTCTTTTTATTTTGGCATGAGTTAATATTTTGGGGTGAATTGATAGAAAATATCAAATGTAATAATTAAGGACAAGTTTCTTCGTATTCTTATTAAAGGAAGAAAGAAAATTACTATGTTGATGCATATTCATTTTATTCCGAGTACTTTCGACATTAGCACAATGTGGTCATCAGGGTCTTGTTTTTTCGTTTTTTTAAGACAAAAAATTGTTGTGTTCATCATTTTTCTAGGACAAAATTGTTGCGTTCATCTGAAAATTTAATTTTTACGTTTGAACTAAAAAACGCTAAGGTTATGTACTGTACAATTTTTCAATAAATTCCTTTTCGGAATGCAACTTTTATCGCAGCTACAATAAGTTTGTCTTTGTAATTTAGCCCTGAAGATGATCCTAGAAAAGGTCAAAAGTACTTCGTTTAAAAATGTTGAATTTCATCTTAACATCAAGAATCTGATTAGACAACTAGAAAGGATCAGTATAAAAATAAGTAGACACAATAAGTCTATATTATTCAATGAAATATATATATATATATATATGTGTGTGTGTGTGTGTGTGTGTGTGTGTGTGTTTATCCGAGAGTCGGGGAGCAATACTTCGATTCTAGGCAGAGCGTACACAGACTCCGATCCGAGGGAAAAGAGCCCATCTCTATGCGTAAATAACCCTGTTATTTTTTACGGGTAATATGCTATTATCATATATTGTACTATTGAAACAAATTCATCTGAAAGGTGAGTCGGTGCTTTTACCAACTTCTTTGTTCGTTTTGGTACAAAATGGAACAACGAAAACTCATACTTTCTTTTCAAGGACCTGATCAATTTCGAATGTGCTCTTCGTCTATCCTCTTGTGGGAGCAAGCATAGTGTGAGGGTGGCGTCGTGATGCATGGGCTTGTCAGCTACAAAACAAACCCAAATGTCCCCATATTTATGACGAGCATTCATTAGACAGGATGATTGATGAATAAATACAGGTGTACTATTTTATGTCAATGTTTTTGCTTGACCCGAATATTTTTTCGCATTCATTCCTGTTCTATATTCCTTTTATTTATTTATTTATTTATTTTTGATGGCGTAGACATGAAAAAACAAGTTCGTCAACTATACGAACAATTTTCTCCCCTAAAAGTCGATAAGGAATCATAAAATCCATTAATTAGATATTTAAATTTAGATTAATCATCGGAGTTATAGTGGTCTTAGCCCCGAAAGTTAACAGCCAAAATTGTCAGCTGTCATTGTGACAATTTGTCGGAATCCATTACTGTCTTATATATATATATATATATATATATATATATATATATAATAATTTCACCCCAAGTAAGGTAGTAACGCCACTAAGATGCAAGGGGTTGATTGTGAAAGAATAAGAAAAAAAGAAACATTTTTAAGGAGAACTAAAATTAAATTAAATTCTTTCTATGGGTATTCAAGATTTTTAAAAATCAGTTTTAAAGATTCTTCATTATCTATTTTTTTAACTGACCCACTTATAAAAAATTCAGAATGAGGAATGTTTCAACTTTAACATCTGATTTAGGGAGGGGGGCTAAATAAGATTTTAAGTTTTAAACATTCTTCATTCTGTACTTTTTATGAGTAGTTCAGTTAAAAAGTAGATAATGAGGAATTTTTAATCACTAATTATGTGGCGTCTTGTTGCAATAGAGTAATATGGAATGAAAAGCTTGATAAAAGTCTTAACCTTTAGCACTCTGCATTATTAATATTACTTCCCTTTCCACTTCATTCTTTTTCAAGACCTCTGAAATTCAGTATCCTTATTCTTAATTTTACTCAAAGTTGTTTTCTGTTGCCATAGCAGGATATGGCAACACAACCATGAAATTCAAACACACTATTGTTCAGGGATCAGGTGTGCTATTGAGTGCGAAAGAATATGAGAAAAAGAAAAAAAATATTTGGGAGGGAGAACAATAAAAGAACAAGAATTAAGAAGACAGAGGATTGACATTGGATTTAAATTTTTGAAAACCAAAGTTGACTGGAAAGCAAGAATCCAGATTAAAATTCCACAAGCGAAAAGTACGAGAGAAGAAACTATTAGCATAGAACTTACGGTTACATCTAGCCATTTCAACTTTAAAATGATAATACCACGATGCCAATCTAGTACTGCGCTTAAATTCATAAAGTCAGGGTCCATAGCGAAGACCTCATCCAAACAATTACCACGGAATTATTTATAGAAACGACACACAAAGCAACCTTAAGGCGGTGGAAAAGTGATTGCAGTCGAGCTGCCAAATCAGGGCCAATAATATTACTGATTCTTCTTTGGATTTTATCAAGAATCTCTAAATACATAGTAGAAATAGCAGATCAGATATGACAGCAATCTTCAATGCATGGAGGAATGGTAAACTTAAAAATATATAAGATAGATTCTGTCGAACCGGTTTAACCGGTTTATAATGGATAGCACAGGAGGAACTGGGAGATATATTAAGGGGACAAATATCACTTAGTGCTACAAGGGATAGGAAGTAGTGGAGAACTGTGATCGTTCACATCCTGAAGGGACGCACTACATACAACAAGAAAGAAAGAAGAAAAGTTAAAACAATGAAATCAGAAATGGGTAATTATGATTGATTTTTTTTTGCGGTATATCAACCTTTTCAGGTTATTTAAAGTCGAAGAATATTCTTAGATTGTAAGAATTTTTTTTAGGTAATAATTATTTACTGATATAATTCCTATTAATTAACCCATAGCTGCAAGGAGAATATGTGGATTTATATCTTTCCTAAGGATATTTGCGTGTAATTAAAATAACAAACCCGACTGTAATTGGAACTCCTGTCTCTGATTTCTAATTCCGAGCCGCTATCTATTGCATCACCTGCACACCCATGCTTACATCACTTGGTATTCTCAAGCGGTCACCCATCTAGGTACTAACCAGGATCGACGTTGTTTAACTTCGGTGATCGTAAGAGAACTGGTGTTTCAACGAGAGCCAAGAAATGGGTAAATTTTATTTCTTGTTTGGTAAGTGTGAGTCTTGAAGTCTAATAATGTTGAAAATGTATTCTCTAAAAACTAAAATTAAATTCTTTCTATGGCTATTGAAGATTAGAAAACAAAAAAAAAAATAACTCGTTTATAAGCAATTGTTCTCACATTTGATTAAAGTTTAATCAACTCTAAAGAGCAAGAGAGACAAAGGAAAACAACATATAACATATTTAGTGACGTTGAGTAAATGGATGGCGGAACAGGGTTTAGGAGAAATGACAGAAAGACAAAGTTTATTAAGAATTACAAGGGACAGAGCTGTGGAGAGCCATGATCGCCTATATCCTGCACATAAAGAAGACCAGTAACGTCAATGCGGATTAAGCAATGCCTTAAAGAAATACAAAAAATTGTTCTCATGAGTAAAGCCCACACCTTACAGAGGGCTTTATCTATGTAAAATATGCGTGATTTCTTTTTTTAAATTGCTCAGTGGAAAACGTCATGGCGCCATTACTGACCTTAGGTCTCTGGTCAGGACCCGGAAAGAAATGAGTATACACCAGAAATCAAAGGAAATAATAATAATAATAATAATAATAATAATAATAATAATCTGAAACAACAAATTCAAGCGAAGAAAGAGAATCAGGCGTCATGAAAAAAGAAACAGATTTTTCTGGCAAAACAAATCTCCAAAGAAGAAGCCAAGGAACTATATCGGAAAAAAATAAAATAGAGATAAATGACCCACCTATTATCCAGAAAGTGAAGGAGTTCTGGTGCAAGATGTGGGAAAACTGCAAAATGCACAATGAAAGAGCTAAATGGATCAAGCAATAACAGGAACAAGACACACATATAGAGTGCCAAAAATGGATAGATATCAATATTACTAAAAACAACCGCTGCCATCTGCATAAAAGCATCATGAATAAACCGAATAGCCAACTTTTGGATAAAAACCCTATCTAGCACCCACCGAGACCTCGCACGGGTATATAATGATATAAACATAAATCCAGAAAAATGCCCCAAATGGTTCACGTGAAAAGTAACATACTGTTGTGGTGTCCTCCCACTAAAGAGTCTACGTTAGACTCTTCCGCCTACTATAAGATTAGTAGGAGAGAAGGCTTCGGGAAGCTGTGAATAGTTTGAGCGCTAGTTTATTCGATACTCTCTCACTAGTCGTGTAATACTCTTCTGGTGTACTTACTGTTTAATATACGATATATCTGCAAACCTGGTATTTGTTATTACTTAACCATTTACTTGGTCACAACATATACCTACTCCCAAAAACAAAAAGGACGCAGAACCTGAAGAACTATAAGCCCATCACCGGCTTACCAACAAAATCCTCAGTACTGTCATAATCGAGAGGACATACATCTTCCTCGAGAAAAACAATTTACTTCCAGTAGAACAGAAATGATGTAAAAGAGGAAGTTACAGTGCAAGGACTAAGTATCAATAAAACAATATTGGAAGAGGTGAAAACAAAGAAAATAAACTTATCGACGGCATGGATCTACTACAGAAAGGCGTTCGACAGTGTACCACACTCATGAATAGAAAAGAACCTAATAATATACAGAGTATGCCCCACAATGGTCAAATTCATAACGGAGAGCAATAAAAACTGGAAGACTACACTAAAGCTAAACCATACAAACGGGTTATTAACGTCGAGACCAGTCAACATCAAAAGCGGGATCTTGCAAGGAGATTCACTGTCACCACTACTTTTCTGCCTTGCATTAGCACCATTCAGTTGCCTACTGAGCAACATTAGCTACGAATACAAATCACAGAATGGCAAACTGAATCATCTATTCTATATTGATAATCTTAAAACGTTTCCCAAGGATAACAACCAGCAGAAAAAAAAACTACTTACCATTGCCAAAACCTTCAGCGAATACATTAGGTTGGAGTTAGGAATCGACAAATGTGCCAAAGCCACCTTGAAAGGCGGTAAGCTAACGAAAACTACAGGTTTAAACCTTGATATCAACAAGATTAAGGAACTAGATGAAGATTGTACATACAAATATTTAGGAATTAATTAAGGAGACGGAATACAACATTCAATTAGGAAGAAAATATTATAGGAGAGTGCGTTTGATAATAGAAAGCGAACATAATGGGGCCAATAAAATGAGGGCTATCAACACGTTAGCTATACCCGTAGTAACATAAAGCTTCAACATTATTAAATGGAAGTTGAATGGCATTAAAATATTGGATACCAAAACCAGAAAAATGCTTACCCAAATGAAGATGCCTCACCCAAAATTAGATGTTGATAGGTTGTACGTACCAAGATCTTTCGGAGGTCTAGGTCTAATCCAACTGGAAATAACTCTAAAAAACTACAATTAGATTGGAAGCATATCTAAAAAAAAAAAAAAAAAGGACTCGCTCCTACAAATAGTAAAACACCAAATCCACTCCATCAACAAAGGAGCTGCACGCTTTAAGAAACAGTTTAATGAGTCGGAAACCCTACCAACAAAGAACGAAGCGAATACCATCGACGCCAAACAAATAAAACAGAAAGCAAAACAACTTGGCCAAATGGAATTACAAAAAAACTCTGAGGACAAGACGTTGTATGGCAAACACCTAAAAAAGAACGAAAGAAGCAGATGTGGACCAACAGAAACCATATCAGTGGCTGAGGAGCACCAGGTTGAAAACTGAGACAGAAGGCCTAATTATTGCAGCTTAGGACCAAAGCCTCGCAACCAGATCCTATCACTGTCACATAATCAAGGATAGGAACTAATCCGAAATGTAGGATCTGCGGAAAATATGATGAAACTGTCGACCATATTATCTCAGGATATCCGGAACTAGCAAAAAATTAATATACCCACAGACATAACAAAGTATCAACATATGTACATTGGAAGATATGCAAGAAGCACAAAATCGAAAACAACGAGAGATGGTATGAGCATCCCCAAAATAACGATGTAACTATCCTCTGGGGTATGCCAATTCAAACTGACAGGAAAATAAAAATCAACCAAACTGATATTATCATAAAAGACAAGATATTCAGGAAGTGTATACTTACTGATATAGCCGTACCAGCTGTGAGAAACACCTCCATGAAAATTATCAAGAAATTGTCCAAATACAAGGACCTAGAGATCGAGATTAATAGGATGTGGGGAATGAAGACTAAGATTGTTCTAATAGTAATCGGAGCTCTGGTCTTCGTGAGAAAAGGAATGGACAAATTTAATAACAGTGTCCCGGGTAACATCAATATACGCCCTACTAGTAGGGCATCTCTTAAGCAACTTGAATAGTAATATTTTCGCAATAATAACTTATCAAAGTACTAGTCAAAATCTTAAGTTGCTTAAAAGCAATCGTGTCTAAGAATGGGCGGTATTAAGAATTAGCACTTGATTAGATGTGGACCATGTTTAATATACGGTGCATCGCAAAGAACCTCACGATGAACGCTCGTTACCCTACTAGCTTGTGTAAGACATGGAAAGTCAATTTAAAATGTCATCTTAAAACAAATGCGTTAACATTCTACATTCATAAATCCTAAAATTAAAAAATATATATTAAAGATTGAATACAAACTATGAACTAAAACGTTTTTGGTTGGTTGATTTTTTTTAACATCATATCAACCTCTAGGGCAGTGGTTCCCAACCGATTTTGGACCATGCCCCTTTTTGGTATTTCTAAAATTCTGGTGCCACCCCACGCCGTAATATTTAATTCTTACTTGTATACCAATTACACATGTACATACATACACACAAAATATTTTTTATGCATGCATACTGTGTGTATTAACACGCATTAATATTAACACTTTCACTCAGACTCACGAGAAACAATTCACTGTTAATAACTCATTCTCGAACTGCCCCCTCATTCTGTTGGTATAGTAAGCCGAAGGTGCACATCCTACACATGCCCCCAGCAAAATATTACCATGACACACCGGTGGAGCATGCGGCCCACGTTGGGAATCATTTCTCTATGGGTTATTTAATGCCGAAATCAAAATATTTTAAACAAAAATTTTATGGCGTCAACTAAATATATTTTGAACGCAATTGTATGCCTTCAACTACAGATAAAATGTATTGTTCGTCATTTTGTTATAAAATGTATTGTTGATAGTTTTACTATAAATAGATATTGTTGGTAATTTTAGTACAAAAATGTATTTTTATACTTTATGTTTTGTTTTTGTTTCCGAGTTCCCTATTTACCTATAGTTGGGCCCTAACAGGTGCTACTACTCCGGGTCAGGATGGACCTAGGAATAACACCAATTAAGAGGGTGTTCACGCTCCTCAAAACTACTGATCAGAGGCCTTGATGCCGGGTGTAGTTTATCATCATACCCAGGAATAAAACGTTTTTAATATATAGATTATTGTTATCATTATTCATAAAGAAAAATCAGACAGAAGATTAAGCTTTCTTTATTCCATGAAATTTGATTACTGTCCATATGTGAGATTCGACCATTTCTTTTATCGTCGAGTAATTCGAGGGGAGATAACTATGTTTGCCATCACCACAGTTTTATTATAATTATTGTTATTTTTGTTGTTCTTATTATTAAACTATAGGTATTTGCTAAACTTAGCTTAGTTTAACGCAAAGCGCTCGACACAACTGATTTTGCAACTCGGATGGTCGAAAGTACTCCACCCTGTAAAAATGTATTTGCCATAGAAACCACAGCAATAACACCTATGCTCTACAGAGGAGTCCAATGGTACTGATGATGATGATGATGATGATGATGATGATGAAGGTGTGTAAAAGTTTCCACTTTTGTTTTTTAAACAGTCTTCTGTGTGCTTCAGTTTCAATAACAAGAATGCGACGAACTTTTACACACACTTAGTAGATTTAGTTCTGCTAGTTTTTTATTTGGAGATTTTAAGCTTTTAAAGTTAATTTTACATCTTTGTTATCTAAGATAATCAATGTATTTT